GGTTTAGGGTTTGGGGTTTGGGGATCCCCTTGATCCTTGAACCCAACACTGTCAAATGCCAAACCTTACACCCTTAAACTCTAGATCCTTTAAGCATCTTAAACCTTAAACTCTAAAGGACACCCCTGACTGGCCTTGTCCAGTTTGCAGCCTTCTATGTTCCGTGTTGCCGCCGCTATGAGCTTTTTTATGACAAGCATTGCCACGGTCATTGTCGCGTCTCTTTTTGTTGTCACCTTCATTGATCTGCCTTTTTGCTATCCCAACCCCTTAGCCCTCACCGACCAGTTAACAGCCAAAATCGTGATCAGAACCGAAGGCCTTGCTCCATTTGCATTGCTGCTGCTGCTGCTGCTACTTGTAGCCGTGCCGTTGCAACAACTAACACTAGTTCGAAATGGAATGTGTCTCTGTAACTACGATCGTCAGCGTCGTCTTCTGCTTCTTCCTGCATTTATTGTTGCTGTTGTTGTTGCCGCTGCTGCTGCCGTTGCTGCTGTTGTTGCTGTTGTTGCTGTTGCTGCTGTTGGTGGTGGTGGTGGTGGTGCTGCTGCTGCTGCTGCTGCTGCTGCAGCTGATGATTTTGGCTAATGCTGTTGGTGACGGTGTTGATGTTGCAGTTTCTGTTGTTGTTGTTGTTGTTGCCGTGGTTGCTGCTGTTGCCATGTCCGTTACTAGTTCGTGCCATGTCATGAACCTTGGGTATGGCTACCGCTTTGGTTTGACAAATATCGTTTTTGTCATTGCATGTCTCAGCATGGTTGTAGTGACTGCAATGACTACGTAAGCTTTCTCAGGGTTTCAGAAAGTGCGAGACGCTGATATCCATTCTAAATCGTAGCATCCCTATTAAAAAGACCAGACGTGATTCGGTCGTTTCGGAAACCCCGAATACCCCAAACTCGATCGCTCACCCACCGCACCCACTCAGGCACGCACCCTAAACCCTAAACCCTAAACCCTAAACCCCTGAACCCTAAAGCCCTAAGCCCAAAACCCTAAAGCCCTAGACCCTAAACCCTAAACCCTAAACCCCAAACCCTAAACTCTAAACCCTAAACCCTAAACCCCCCTAGACCCAACAGTGTCCTCCCAAACCAACCGACAGGCGAGAACCCGCTGTGGCCACTCCGTGCAACGCCCTAGACCCCGATTCCCAAATCCGACACTTCAGTTCCTAGGTTTACGGTTTAGGGTTTAGGGGACCCCAATTCTTAAACCTTAATCCGAAACTTCAAAACTCTGAACTCGTACAAAGCCCGTCTATAGCCCGTCTACAGCACTTTTCGGGCCTGCAAAGAAACGCCATAGATCCCAAATATGAACTAAACACCAGAAAGTAGAAGCATCATTATCCCCATGCCCTTGCAGTCAAGCAGAAGGAAACCCAGCTCTAATTATCCTAAATCCATGTTCCAGTTGTCTGGGATTCACTATAGCCCTAAACCCTTAATCTAAACCCTAAATTTTGCCGGAAAGACAGCAATGAGGCGCTGACGCTTCGCTTCCTGTCTTCGCCGGCAGAGTTCGGTGTCGACCCCGGATTTAGGGTGGTTGCCGGGTGTAAGTTTATATCAGTTCAGGGTCTAGGGTCTGAGGTGCTTGAAAGGGGTAGGTCTATATAGGGGTTTTGGATTGAGGGTTTCAGGTGGTGGTAAGGTGTGAGTTTAAGCAGGGGTTTCGAGTGTTTGGTTTCGGGTTGAGGGTGGTTGTCAGGTGAATATATGATCCCGGTTCTCGGTT